GTAGAATCTAAGCTTTCCAATAATGTCCAACATGTCTATATTGGGAAACATTTTACCGGTGGAATTTTATGCATTCTGAGTTATTACCCCCCCAAGTTCAAGTTAGCCTGGTTAAAATCCCCAGCAATGATGAAAACAGCCTCTGTGTGCAGATTGGAGCTCAGAGATAGCATGGTATAGAGTCTTCATGGCATCTTTATGGTTAGCACCGGGGGGCACATAAACAGCAGTGATGCTAACCACACTCAACTCTCTGGGCAGATAGAACGGCCTACAGTTAACAGTCAGAAACTCGATGTCTGGAGAGAAGAAGCTGGCGACTGATCTAGCGTTTTTACACCAGCTGTTGTTGATGTAAATTGATGTAGATTAGCCAGCAGATCAGCTAATCCATGATCTCTGCTTTAGTTGCTTGGTTGCAGCGGCTCTGGACACACACAGTTATTAGATAAGATAAGATGAGCTTTATTGATCTCACAGCGGAGAAATTCACTGGTCACATATTGGCATAGTAATTAAAGAAGGTGCAAAACAAGGAGGAAAAAGGTGCAATAAGAATAAACAATATATATCAGTATATAGCAACTGAAACACTTGTTTTATCAACTGAAATATTTCAGGCATTTTATTGTCTTAATATGGATGATTTTGGCATACAGCCTTTAAAAACCCCAATTTCATATCTCGCAAAATTAGCATATTTCATCCGACCAATAAAAGAAAAGGGGTTTTTAATACAAAAAAGTCAACCTTCAAATAATTATGTACAGTTATGCACTCAGTCATTTCTGCACTTGTAGGTGGAGGTTTGTAGGTGGCTTTGAATTCTGATCTGCCTTTCAGCTTTAGATTTGTTTGTGAACTTTGGAAAACATTTTTCCACAGGACAGACATTCCGAAAACTTCTTACCTGTGTGAGTTCTACTGTGATCCATTAAATGTTCTGTTCTTTTCTTTTCTCCACATGTCAGACATGGGAAAGATTTCTCTCCTGTATCTTCAGTCTCTTGCTTCAGAACAAGCTGCTCTTCCTGCTCACTAATGGGGAGCTCCATGGTTTCCTCTTTTGTCCAGGGATGTTCTGGTTCTTTCTTTTCTTCTTTTATCTGCAGAGGTTCTGGTTCCTCTTGGTCCAAACTGAAATTCCTCTCCTGTTCATAGAGCTGCTGGTCAGAGAAATCCTCCTCTTTTCCAACATAATCCTGCAGGTGGTCTGGAAAGACAAACAGCAGAAAAACTTTCTATTGGTGGTTATAAGGGACACACATTAGAGCACCAAACTCTGTCCTTGAGTTTAAGGAGCGAGTGGATCCTGCTAATCAACCTGAAGATATGAAGTTCACTCGACCTACATTTGGACAGTGGTGCTGAAGCAGAGCGCTATGATCACATCACTGAAACTGGTTATTAATGTTTAATAATTATTAAAGTAATTAAAGCATTTACAGCCATCACCACAGTGACTTTTTCCTAATAAGTAAAAATTGTTTGAACCATAAAATGTAGTGAGTACAGTTATAAAAAAGACGACATTGCTGGACAAATGTCCTTGTTGATAAGAGGCAGGAAGGCCTTCAAGGCCTGGATGATGGGGTGATCACCTTCAGTCCCTGTCATGGAGATGAAGTATCCCAATGTGTTCACGTTAAAANAGTTTAGATTTTATTATTCCTCTTTGTTTGCTTATAAAACCCGAATCCAGCAGAATTCTAGAAGCTTCCTTTAACTAAATGTTCATCCAGAGCAGAACATTTCTGGAACCAACAGCTTCCTCTCATTAATGTTCTGGTTCCTTCTCTTCTGTCCACCAGCTGGACCTGTTTGTTCTCCTCATTCATTCAACAGGGTCTCAGTGAAAGAAACAGCAATAAATACACGACTGGCTTATTTTACGTCTCCAACAAATATACTAAAGGAGAAGAAGAAAAACCTCTACTTCCTTTTAACTATTGATTCTTTATCATTTAGACACAAATATATGAATATTTAATAGAAATTCTAGTGATCAAAGAATCAGTTTAACCACAGAGATGATTGACTTACCGCGTGAAGAACTACCCCCCATAATTTCTTCCTCTGCAATGAAGGAAACCAAATTCAACAATGAAACATTGATTTATTTTCATAGTTTCAGATAAAACAAAAATAATTTATCTGTTTTCACTTCTCCAATATTTCCATCTTCCAGTCATTGTTTCTCTGATCAGATTCCTCCTCCATGATGGAGGTTCTGCTGCTCGAGGCCTGTGCAGCTGCCTGGACACCAGTTTATAGTTTTCTAGACATTCAGCATGTTCAGAGACAAACTGATTCATCTGTAGCTGATATTAGTACTTTTTCTTTGTATTAGTATTAGGCAATACAGTCAAGTGTTTCCTGATTCATTAATACATTCAGCAGTGATGCCTTGAGGTCCTGCGATGTGCCTGCATTGCCACTTCCTCCATTTTCCATCAATAATGATGTACTTTAATTATCATTAAATGTTTTCTTCTTTGTTCAGACTCCTACGTTTCTAACATTTTGTTATCACTGTTTCATTTTTGTAATGAACATGGAAGAAAATAAGTAAATAAATATCTTCTTCAGCAATCAGCGCCAAAAAAGATTAGGTTAGTTTATTTTTTATTTTATTTAACCTTTATTTAACCAGGAAGTCCATTGAGATTGAAATCTCTTTTTCGAGGGAGACCTGGCCAAGACGGCACACCAGTTAAAATACAAACAGAAATACAACATAGACAAAATCTCACATTGAGGAAAAGACAGGTCACATAGGGCAGTTACATTTTTGAATGACATGACATTT